TAATGGTGTCAATAATGGACCTTAAAACTTTGGAGGTGTTTGACGAGCAATACAATCATCATTATAAGAATTTTCATCTCTGTAATCAGTTTCATAATAGTGATTGTTATCTTTATCATAACATTCATATGAATAGGAAATAATTATATTTTAGACCAGAATAGACATTGCAGTTATTATATAAATATAAGTCAATTTTATTGCAGTAAATTTAGATTAATTTGAATATTAACAAAAAAATATAAGTGATGATTAATATATCCATCCATTTATTTATTTTTCTTGGGAAATCTTACGCAACATAATATCTGCTTCAGAGAATTAAAGCTTAAAGTACACAATACATCCAAATAAAACAATTAACATAGGAATTAGTAGAATACATAATATTTCTATTTAATTCTCTCCTTTATTTTAATAAATAGCAATAATTGAAATTATCAAAGTAATAACTATTAAAAACATTACTAGATAAAGTAATAAAGAAATCAAACCAAAATTAATATCTTATTAAATTTCTTGCCCAACTTAATTGCCTTATTAAATTCCTTCTTGCTATCTATTGCTTTAAATGCTTTAATATTATAAAAAATACTTATTTTACTAACGTAGTCGATGACTGCTTCGCATAAATAATTAGATAGAAATATCATTAAAATATTTAATAATAAAAAATTTGTATTAATTATTAGTTGTTCAGATTGCGTATTATTCAGAACTTTTTATAACAGTTTTTATTTATCACAATCAGAATTCATTATGAGACCATAAAGCAAACATAAAATGATAAAAGAAAAATATTTCAAATACCATTATTTACTTATAATTAATAATCCCCAATCAGATTTCTAATAAATAAAATGATTAAAAAAAATTGATGAGTTCAATCTCATTGTTTTCATTTTGAAACGATCCTTATGCAAAAAGTTCATAAAAATTCATTATATTAAAAGGTTATCTTGAATTGCTAATATGACTTTTTGAACAGCAAATTATTTCTACCTAATTTATAAATATTTAGTTTGTATATTAGACTTCTGCTAAAAGAAAGGTAAATCCAAAACATCAATAAATTATATCACTTAACAAGCTTTCAAAATTAGTGGTAAAACTTAAAATGCTATTAGACATTTTATAAAATATAATTCAATAAATATCTCTGAAATATATTTATTTTAAATTAATCATAAATTTTTGAGTTATTTCCTTCAACAGAATGACTTTATCATAAGGCCTGATCCTCTAACTGTAATTGTATATAAATCAGGATTGATAATATTATTTTATGTTATTTATGATCAGTAGTATAAAATCAATTATTGCGGATTAATTTTAGAATTAAGTCTATTCTACTGTTTCTTGCTAAAAACTTATATTAGAAAAAATTATATTATTAACTCAAAATAATGTTCTTATATTTAAAAAACTTTTTCAGGTGCAATTTTTCATAATGATTGATTGTTTATAGTCTGTAAAAAGCTTTTTTTGTCTTTGAAAATATATTAATATTTTATATCTTACCTTTAAAACTAAAATTCATGATGAAAACAATATTTTTACTTAACTAAATCAATTCAGATAGACTTATTTTCAAAGTAAACAAAACAAGTGATAAGCTAATAATCAATTCACCTCAATAGTATAAATAGTATATAATTAATTTATCATTTTTTAATATAAGATAAATTTGTTTGATTTTAAAAATTGTCATTTGGATTTTCGTTTTAGTGTGTCTATGTTTAAGTTTAAATAAAAATAGGAGAAATATAGTATTATTATGTAATTTATTAAAGTTAAAATTCAGTTCATCTAATAATGATGTAAACACTAACAATACTAATTTAATGCAATTAAAATTGTTTTATTTGATTGGAATAGAACCGATTTATAAAATTGAGAAAACTGATATTAAAATATAATGAATAATATTTATCTATTTATGTTTCCATCATAAAATTTTCTAATTTTTAATTAATATAATATTTAAAAAATTTTGCCATGATCAAAATTTCAAATAGTAACATAAAAGATGATTTAAAGCAGCCTTTAATTTAGAAGAGTAAAATTTTATTTAATTAAAAATTGACAGAGTAAGATGATAATAAAAAAGGATTTTTAAAAAATCTTTTCTGTTCGATTAATGCTAAATGGCATTATCATAAAGGTATTAGATAAAGGTTATTTGATCAAGGTCGTTATTTTGATAATTTTGGTAAATCTAATAAAGGTTTGGAATAATTTGATTAAGGTATTTTAATTGATCCATAATATATAGATATTTACAACAAAAAAGGTTGGATTTTATAATATAATAACTAGGCATAGAGTCTCATAAACAAAAATAATTTAATGAGGCCTTATTGTATTTTGATAAAGTTATTTAGATCAATCCAAATTGTGTGACAGCAATAAATAATAAAGGTTAAACTAATCATTAATGTTTTAATAGGATAGACACTTCATGAGTTATAGAGGTATGAAGATGCATTAAAATGTTTTGATAAAGCTTTTGAATTAGATCAACATTTCGTCATAGCTTTAAATAATAAAGGTTGAGAATAAATATTCTATAATAAGGCTCTACTCTTCATAAATTACAGAGATATGAAGAAGCAATAGAATATTTTAATTAATCTATTTTGATCAATCCAAATAATTTTTAAACCTTCAACAATAAAGGTTACTTTATTTATATGATTCTAGGAAAAGCATTATATATGTTAGAACAATATCATGATGCAATCAAATGTTATGATATGGCCATTCAACTCAATCCTAATTATCACTTTGCTTATAATAATAAAGGTTGTGATATTCACATTTTTTAAATTAGGCTAAGCTTCTTAGAAATTAGGTAGATTTACTGATGCATTAAAATTTTATGACTAAGCAATTTAGTTAAATCCAAATTATGTATATGTATAAATTAATAAAGGTTTAATAAATTGTATTTTTTTAGGATAAACATTTTAAGAATTAAAATTATATGACGACGCATTGAAATGTTATGACAAAGCTATTCAATTAAATCCTAATTGTGAATTATCTTTTTATAATAAAGGTGTTATATTATTAATATATTTAGGTTTATTACTAAGATCTTTAAATAAAAAAGAGGAGGCATTAGTTTGTTTCGAAAAAGCTATTGAATTGCAATCAAATTAAGAAACTTTTTATTATCATAAAGGTTATCATCATAACAAATATATAAGGTATCGTACTTTATGAACTGTAGAGATATGAAGAAGCATTAAAATGTTTTGATAAAGCTATATAATTAAATCCAAATTAGACTGCTTTACATAATCGAACTACAATTTAGAAATTTATCAATCAAATCAAATAAAATTCTAATTAAAATAATAATTTTCTACAAATAGATATAAATTCAACAAAAGTGTTAGAATAAAATTTCCCCAAACTAGAAAATGAAGTTTTATCTTAATAACAGAGTAGTAATTTTTAAATCTAAACCACTGAATTTAAAATCTAAGAAGGAAATGAAATATGATTAATATTTTTAATAAATTCAATATAATTTTGTTCTTGAAAATAATTTGATGATAAAATATTATTCATTCTATTGTCTTTTTTTTGGGTGAATTTCTCCTGATTTTACCATTAAATTTAATAATAACTATTTTATAAGATATAATTTTCAATCTTTGCAGTTCCATTTTTAATTTTGATTTAAGAATTTCTATCTCTAATTGAATCTATATGATGAGATTGTGAATTTATATTCTCTAGATTTAGTACTAGTGAAACAAGATAAATCCCTAATACCTGAATAATAGATTTTTCAATTATTATCAAATTGAATGAAATTAAAGTCTTACTAGAAATTTTATTATCATCCAATAAGGATTCAATAAATCTTTTTCCATTACATAATTATTAACCTATTGCTATTTTAGAGAATTTTGATTCATATCAGTTTTAATCAAATATAATAATTAAATTAACAAGTTTATTAATATATAAAATTGTTAATCATTAAGAATTAACTTTTACTCGGGTAATATAAATCATATTACAAATTCAAAGATTTTAGTTAATATTGAATTACTTTAATTGTTAAATGAATCACTAAAATAATAAGAAAATAAAGTATAAATACAACATTTATTGTTTATAAGGGATTAGTTCATTGTGCTTATAGAAAAGCATATCAGTCTTATAAATATTTCATATAATATTATTGATTATCTATAAGGTTATTAATAGAGAGTGGATTATAAAATTATCAAGAGTGGTTTTGAAGGAAATGAAATTAATTTAGATTGGAAAATTCAATGAATTTTTAAGAACTTCTTGTGAAAGGAATATATTTTTAGAATTAAAAGTCTTTGAATTTCATTTTGAGTATAATTTAAAAGTTTAAAGCCTTTTGCTGAATAAATTTTAGATGATATAATTTTTAAAATAATAGAAGATTAATCAATAGAATTAATCCAACTGATCTTAATCATTAAGTTTAATTGAATTTGATTAAATTTACAAATGTGTCTTATCTTCTATAAATTAATCTTTTTATATCTTTGGAGGGTATTTATCCTTAATGGGCATGAAATTTATATTATTTATCTATGATAAAATGATTCAAATAAGAGATATTTAAGAAAAAAGGGGATTAAATAATTAGAAGGTTCTAAATATTATTAGATTACTCTTATTTATCCAACTAATAATATCTTGATATCCAAACAATTAGATTACAGGATATAAATTAGGAAAAAATGATTATGAAAGTTTACTAAGGTATAAGATCAATAAATTCAATTTTATTTTAT